AGCCAAACCATGGCTTTTCGCACAATGGGGGATGGATGTGGTTGGCCCGTTACCGACCGCCAGATCGCAAAATAAGTACGTTCTACTTGCAACAGACTACTTTACCAAATGAGTGGAGGCAGAACAGTACCCCAATATGACTCAGACCCATGTGAGACGCTTTATTTGGAATAGTATCATTTGTCGATTTGGTGTGCCGAGGGCGATCGTCATGGATAATGGGACTAACCTTGATAGCAAGCAGGTGAAGGAGTTACTGGACGAATATGGAATTAATCAAAAGTTAGCAGCGGTCAGCCACCCACAGGCGAATGGTCAGGCTGAAATCACAAACAGAACGATCTTTGCTTGTATAAAGAAGAAGCTTGAAGAAGAGAAAGGAAAGTGGTTGGATGAACTCCCGAACGTCCTATGGGCGTATAGAACGACTCCAAGGCGACCGACCAGAGAAAGCCCATTCGCCATGGCATATAGTACTGAGGCAGTAATACCGATAGAGCACCAAGTTCCTACTATTCAGAGTTTAGCGTGGAATCAGTAGCAGAATGATCATATGCTGAAATTCAACCTCAACTTGCTTAAAGAGAATAGGAATGCTACAGCAATAATGCTCGCATCATATCAACAAATGCTCATGAAAAGTCACAACAGAAAGGTGAAGCATAGGGGTTTTGCGCTTGGTGATTTGGTTCTGAAAAGAAAAGTTAGTATCATTAAGAAAATGGTGTCGCCATGGGAAGGTCCGTATAGAGTTGCAGAGGTTATCGGAAAGGGGGCATATGTCTTAGAGACCATGGCTAGAAGGCTGGTAAACAAGCCTTGGAACGCCACTTCTTTAAAAAGGTATTATCAATAAAAATTGAGTTTCAATTTAACCAATGTCTACCTTCAATTGTATACTTGCAAGAGAGCAAAACTTTGAAAGATTTATAAAAAAGTATCATCTTCTTCTAACAAGATGACTAAGTATGAGCAAAGCCAAGTGGCAAGTGGCATTCTAGCCGAGCGCCAGGCACTTAAGTAAAGTAAGTGGCAACTGGCACCATGAGCCGAACACCAAACACTTGCTAAAAAATAATGAAAAGCCAAGTGGCAAGTGGAGTTCAAGCTGAACGCCAGGCACTTAAGCAAAGTAAGTGGCAACTGGCACCACGAGCCGAACGCCAAACACTTGCTAAAAAATAATGAAAAGCCAAGTGGAAAATGGCATTCAAGTCGAGCGCCAGGCACTTAAGCAAAGTAAGTGGCAACTGGCACCACGAGCCGAACGTCAAACACTTGCTAAAAAATAATGAAAAGCCAAGTGGCAAGTGGCGTTCAAGCTAAGCGTCAGGCACTTAAGCAAAGTAAGTGGCAACCGGCACCATGAGCCGAACGCCAAACACTTGCTGAAAAATAATGAAAAGCCAAGTGGCGAGTGGCGTTCAAGTCGAACGCCAGGCACTTAAGCAAAGTAAGTGGCAACTGGCACCACGAGCCGAATGCCAAACACTTGCTGAAAAATAATGAAGAGCCAAGTGGCAAGTGGTGTTCAAGCCGAACGCCAGGCGCTTACAAAAAGCAATGAAAAAGACAAGTGGTTGGTGTTACTAGCCGAAGGCCACACACTTGTGTTAATATATATATATATATATATATATATATATATATATAAGTACTACCAAGTGATGCAGAGATTCAGATCAGATGTAGTAAAAAATTATCCTTTCATTCATTATAAGTTAAAAAATTACAAAGAGATACTTAAGATGGGTACAATCAAGTTCCGTCTGTCTCTTTGTTCACCTGCTCACCTTCAGCAGCCTCCCCAGAACGGTTAGCATTCCCCTCCCCATCATTGGTCACGGCATCCCTCTGAGGGGAGAAGTCAAGCTGAATCACAGCTTTATTCTGCTGAATTCCATCTTCAGTGGTAGTTATAAGGGGAACTACAATAAAGAGAGGAGGTATGTCTAAAGGCTGAGCAGGAGGAGGAATAGGGATTACTCCAGATGAGGCAATCCCATCATATTCTTCAAAAATGTGTTCGGCAGGAGTGGGGTCTGGATCAGCATAGACTCCTGGAGGATCAATTCCCAGCTCCTTGTAAACATCATCTGGGCCTGTGCTTGAGATTTTCTGACCCTCAGCTGGAAGGCGATCGTTGAAACCTTCTCGGTATCCTTCGGCATACCTGAGGGCCCCAGTACAGGAGAAACGATTGTGCAAAGCCATCATCCCTCCATTGACCCTACCGATGACACCGAGCAGGGCATTACGCTCATCTAGAGCCCTCTTTTCAAAGGCTATACGCTCTACTTGTTCATCATAAAGCAGACGCTGAAGATTGTCTCTTTCGGCCTTGAGGGTTTCGCGTTTGGTCTGCCAGATGCTCTTTTTGATCTAAAGGGCGTCTCTTTCATCTTGAAGGGAGTCTTTTTCCTTTTTCAGACCATCCATTTCCTTCTCAACCTTGTCCAGCTGCACCATGAGTTCAGCATTTTTGGTGCTAATGATCTTGTTCTCTTTGTGACCCACTTCAACGTCTTTGGCGAAATTTCGTACCTTAACATTAGCAGCCTCGACCTACTTCTGCATTGCCATCATACCAAACAAAGTCTGTAAAATAATACATGAGTACTAATTAAGCAGAACGCATGTCTAGAAGAATTATAATATAAAGGCATCTCAAATGCAATAAATAGGAGGGTAGGGAATTACCTCCATGGCTGCAAGGGGAAAACGGCTAAAGACTTCCTTCTAAGACAGAGATTTGGTGACCTCAATGTCTTTAGGAGACCACATGTTCTTGTAATAGGCCATGGTTGTTGGGCCTTCCTTGAACATGGTTTCGCTCGGCTTCACTACCGAGCCGTCAACTCGGAGGCCTAGCCGGAGGAGGGATAGGCAAACCTAGCCCGGAGGTCCGAATCCTCCTTGTTAAGGGAATATTGTCAGGGCTGTCTTCGCTCTCAGGCTGAGGCCTTTTTTCCCGTTCTTTATCCTGAACAGATGCAATGGGGGCAATGGTATTCTGAGCTTGAGGGGTGGGATTCTGGTTGACAGGTAGAGCGGTGACGATCGGGCAAACAGTCACCACGTTTGGGGTAGTACTGGATGTGGTGGCAGATGAAGATGCCGAAGCTGGAGAAGAAGAAACCGCGGGAACAGCATTGACCCTGGGAGGATCCTTCCTCCTACTAAAGGATGGAATCCGAAGCTGGCTCATTGTGATGCCGGGGAGAGATATATCACTTAAATTCTCGAATGTGAGGAGTTCCGAACAGGAAGGGATGTCGTTCAAAACGTAGTCCTTCAGGTAATTGGTCCTATCCCTGTAAATGTTATAACTAAGTTCGTTATCCTGCGGGATACCCAAAGAATTACAAAGAAACGAACAGAATCGAGGAATGTAAGTTTCACAAAGGCAGTCTGTCTTATGAGTTTTGAATTTCTTATACAAAGACATAAAACATTCACCAAAGGCGGTCGGGATAGGATAGTCCTTGGCAGCCGGAGCAAACCAAGCACCCCGAACACCAACAATACCCTTTTTCCAACCCTTTTCAGAATTAAACTTGTCTGTACTGATGGATTTCTTTTCAAGAGGGTAAAGATGGTAATATGCATCCTCCAGCCTGATTTTGCTGACCTTGTAATAGAGGAGAAGATCAATCAAGTCAAGATCTAGGCCTTTGTCACGATTCAAAAGCAACAGAATGGACAGAACCCTAAAAAAATTGGGGTTAACTTGGAGAGGAGAAAGTTTCAACCTATTGAACACATAGCAGAAGAATGGGTGAAGAGTGAATCTAATAATGTTGAGGTGATGAAGGGAAAACAAGACTTCGCCGGGAAGAAGACCGGCACCAGTTCTGATATTAACGCCTTTGAGACATTCTCTAAGGTGAATATCGGAGAAGTGATGGAGCTTTATACACAGAATATCCAGATCTATAGGCATGATGCTGACGATTATGATCTTTGGGGAAAATATGCAAATACTTTAAGAAGAAGAAGAAATAGAACTAACCTTAAAAAGATGAAGATCAGCAAGGGATGTTGCAAAAGAATTGAGAGAGAAGAATCTTTCACTGGATTCGCTGGAGAATATTTGGCTTGACTAGAAAAATCTGAGTTACCTTGAGAGAACAAACTGAAATCGATTAACAGTGATTAGTGGGGGGTACGACAAGGGAAGATGAGGATATGAAGGAGTGGTATATAAAGGGTAAGTGGTGCCGCTAACTGAGATGTCAGGGAGTTAAGAAGATTCAAATTTCAAAGACATTAATTCCGAGGCCGACCGCTCAATGCCCCACGTGATTGTCTCGAGCCGTCAAATCATCATTAGCCGTCAAGTTATCATTAGGTCTATTGATAATCACACCCTAATTAATAAGGGAGTGATTATGGGGGCAGATGAGGATACCAAAGGCGATATGGGCCGGATCTAACCCACATGATGAAAAACGGCCCAGGCAAATGGCCTGGGCCAAATCAAGTTGTCATGAGGCAAGCCCAATGCCGAAGAGTAAAGCTGAAGGCCTGAAAGACGAATGGATCCATGGATACAAAAGCCTTGATGATGAGCCCAATGGAGGAAGTCAATTAGGGATCTTCTAGAACATTGTAAACAATCTATAAATAGGTGAAAAATGAAGGAAAAGAGGGAGAAATATTTGAAGTGTAATGAAACTCTATCAATATAGAGAGAAAATGTCTTGCATCTTCAAACTTAAACAATACAATATCGTAAATTGGAATAAGAAAATAAATAGACCAAGGATTACAAAATCCTATGGGAACTTTGGGGCCATCCGTGAATTCAAAGATGCCAATATCTCATTTTGCCGTGCAATAATCCAAGCTTTCCCTGCTTCTGTTGGTACCGAATTTGGATCTGTTAACATGAGTTTCTTCTCTTCAAGTCTATGTTTCGCTTTAATCTCTAACTGTCTTGTCTTCTCTTTCTCCATTTTTCTTACCTCTCGTGCCACTTGGGCATCCTGCATTTTCTCCTAACGACTCTCAAAACGGGTGGTGATATTATTAAATTTCGAAACGAATGAAGTTTGCAATTCATTCGCTGAATTAATTTTTGCTCGACGTTGTTTCGCCGCTTTTCTTCCTACTGGTCTTTGTTGTTGATATTCTTCCACACCAGGTGAATCATTTTCCCCTATGTGTGGTGATTCTTTAGTTGAAGCTCCATCTGTCGTGGTTGCATGACTTGACGGAGTAGATGGTAATGAGTGCCCAGACTCATTAATGTCAAAGTCAAATCCACTCCTCTTCTTTGGCTCTTTTTTCTTTTTTCCTTTTCCTACTTGTTTGGCACAATGTGAATTCCATTTATTGTTATGCTTCAAGATCTCCCAGCAACTTTCTAACTTAAATTCACCACCTGTTTGGCTACGAAACAGGTCTTTAGCTGTTATCATCTATACGAAAAAAATAACTAAAAATTAAAAGCTGACTATTTAAAATATTTACAAGTTATATTTAAACAATAAATAACTCACCATATCATCATTGCTGAAGCCGCTGGGACGATTCATTTCTATAGTAGTCATGCAGCCAGAAAATTTGCTAATTTTTGGTTGCATCACCGACCAACAATTCATCAAACCAACATAATTTCGCTCAGTTGGAACACCAATATGTTGTTTATATTGTTCTAAAATTCGCTCCCATAACTTCTTCTTATTTTGGTCTGCCCCCGTAATCGCATCAAAGGTAATGGACATCCACGCCCAACATAAAGCCTCATCTTCAGCCCTGGTCCAATTAGTAGGTCGGATAACCGGTTGTTTTGGCAGGGGTCTTGAGTTACTTGATTGTAGAATACTAGTACCACAATCATGATGAGAAGTTAAAGATGGATGATAAGAAGGTTAGGATGGTTGATGAGAAGGAAATTGAGAATCTCCTCCATAAAAATTGATATTCTCTTCGGCAAATGGCAAAAACTCATCGTTTGACGGGTTGAATTGGGTGTTGTAATAATATGGTTATCAAGGATCCATGGAATCAAAATGATTTTGAAAATAATAGACAAGATTGAGAAAATAGAAGAAGAAGTAAGTTGAATGGTAGATAAATAGAGATGTGATGAGTGATGCTAGGAGTTGGAGTATTTATAGAGATTTTAAAAATTTTTAATTTAATTTTTTTTTTTTTGAATAAAGTTAAAAAAATTGAATTTTTAAACTTTTTTTTAAAATTATAGCCGTTAAGGCACTGTTTGGTACTGTAGAAACAGTGCCTTAATGGCTAAATACACTATTTGGCCTACACATTTAAAATTTAAAGCAAAAAAATTAAAAAAAAAAAAAAAAAAAAAAAAAAAAAAAGGTAAAATTTGAATTTTTAAACTTTTTTTTAAAATTATAGCCGTTGCAGTGTTTGGAACTGTAGAAACAGTGCCTTAACGGCCAAATACACTATTTGGCCTACACATTTAAAATTAAAAAAAAAAAAAAACCAAATTTTAAGGGGGAAAAAAAAAAAAAGGTAAAATTTGAATTTTAAAACTTTTTTTTAAAATTATAGTTGTTAAGGCACTATTTGGTACTATAGAAACAGTGCCTTAACGGCCAAATACACTATTTGGCCTACACATTTAAAATTTAAAGCAAAATTTTTTTAAAATAAACCAAATTTTAAGGGGAGGAAAAAAAAAAAAAAAAAGGTTTCTTAATATATTTTTGGCCTAAAATTTTTTTTTTTTTCGACAAACAATGTCTAAACAATATATTTTTTATGTAATGAATTTTATTTTATTTTATTTTTCCAAAAAAAAGATCTCTAAATAACCTATTTTTAGGTTTTAAAAAAAAAAAAAAACTGCCAAACAGTGCCTAAAAGAGACAAAACTTGCCACGAAGAGACAAAAACAAAGCAGCAAAACGGCGCCGATTGGTACAATAAAAAACAAAAAAAAAATTACCCCGATCGCGAGCCGGCTCGCTGATTACCGCGAGTCGGCCCGCTATCGCTACTGGGCCCCATTTGTTTTAGCTAGCCCGCTGGAGGGCCTACAGTGCAAATGCTCGCTAGATTTGGGCTTTAAAGAGCCCCGCTGCGGATGCTCTAAGATGAGGGAGAGAGAGATTAGGGTCATATATATATATATATATATGGTGAGGGGTAGTAAAAAATATAAGAAGGGCAATTTTGAAAATAAATTGTTTAAAATGGTCGTGTGCATGACACAGGACCAACTAACGGCCATTTTCTACCAAAATTCTAACCGGAGGTGTTTAGTTGCACATTTTCATATCTAGTATGGATTTATATAAACAAATTAAACTATAAGGATGTAATTCGTACAAAATCGAAACTATAAGGGTTTTTTTCAGACTTTCTCCTAAAAGGAATGGGCAAAAGCAGAGAAAGTGGCATGAGAGAGAATATATCGCTGAGAATCTATCTCAATTCCATTGAACACATTCGTGTTTGACCGTTGGATCCTTGTTCTTAAATTCTACTTAGTTGCTTTTAATTATTAGTTTTTGTTTCGCACCATTTCTTTTAGGTGCTATCGCATAAAATTGAAAATTTTAAGTATTGAAGTTTTTAAGTGATAATTTAAAAATAAATATTTTTTTAATTTTTAACATTCAGCATTTAATGATAAGTGATATTTCTATCATTTAAAATTTTACCTTAAGTGACGTTTACCATTTTCAGCGATATTCAAAGTAATTGGATAAGCGTTGAATACATTCAGAATTCAACGCTGAATTGAGTAATCAAACAGTACCTTGACTTTTGGCTTTTTCTCGGTTTGCTTGAGCGTAAAATGTTTTTTTTTTTAAATAATTTTTTAAGCAACACTTTTTCATATAGAATGTTTTATTTAATTTTTGTTTTTCGGTATTTAGTAAAAAAAATTAAAATATTTTTCAAAAAATATTTACGGTGTTTGACTTCTAAAAGTATTTTTAAATTAAAATCAAAATTCTTATTTGAGTCATTCATTATCCAATTTCTCTCTTACTCCGTATGTTATCAATTGGTTCAATTATTTTTATTCTAACAACGATAATTATTTGACAAGAAATATAAAAAAAAATAATCAATTGATTTTTGAAAAATGATAAAGAAACCTAAACAAGTCTCTCCATCATCAAATGCAATAACTGAGTTTTGTCTATGTATTGATTTTTTTTTCCTCCACTTTTGCATGTCACTTCTTAAGGATTTAGAAAGTAGTACTACAGGCTAATCACTACACTAATTATCATGACAAAAAAAATATAATAATGAAAATTAATTGAAGAAACCAAGAAAAGGAAATTTTATGATTGTTATTGTAAAAAAGAGATTGACCTTGTAGCTCTCACCCCACAATATATACACAGACCGGTGTTGGACCTATTGGCTCTTCCCTTATTAGTTGTGTTGTTTCCTGCTACTATAGCACATATTAAAGGGCTCCTCTCTCTCTCTCTCTCTAAAAACTCGCTCTATTAAAGGACTCATTTATTTCCCTCTCTAGACACCCTCTTTCTCTTTCTAAACTCTCTCTAGACTGCTTTTGGCCACTGTGTAATTTTTCCACGTGCTTAATTGACGTTTTCGACACCATATGCTTTTGTTGAGGAGATCGAGAGTGAAATTAATAGGTTCAAAAAATGATTTTTAGAAGATTAATAAGGAATCGGGCTTGAGCACTGGAACGCAATCGAGCAAGTCCAAACAAATTGAGAAAATAAAAGCCCACTATATCAGGGAGATTAAGACATGATATGAAGCCCACCAGGCCCATCTGCATTCCAACTGAAGTGACCATTATGAACTCTATAAATCAACGCTTAAGATCTTAATAAAGGACAAGCAATTCAGTTTCTCCTTGGATTTCTGTAATTTTTTTAGTTCTTTGATATTTCATTGTTGAGTATTCGTAGGGAGAAATTTTGTTCTAGTGTAATCACTCTCTATTAAGATTTTTCTTGAGCTACACCTTGCAGACGTAAATGATTGTTCGCACAAACCAAATTGTGGGATCAATGCAGTCATTATACATAGTCAATCCTCCGTAACATAATAATATGAAATCAAAATTGGTTACGTAGAACTCAACTTAGGCTCCGTTTGTTTGAGTGTAAAATATTTTTTGAAAAATAATTTTGTGTGTGCTTCTTGTGTTTGGTTGTTGTAAAATATTTACGAAGAAAAAAATATTAAAACCTAACAAAATAAGTTATTTATTAATTTTTGGTAAGCTATTTTACATGCTTTAGCAGATGAACTCGACCTTAATCTTGACCTCTGCCTTTACTAAATATCAAATATATATATATATATAGGGGGGGGGGGGGGGGGTGCTTTAAGTTTATTTAAAATAATAAGAATTACATAAATATAATAGCACACAAGTTTTAATTTAACACAAAGGAATTTTTGTGTAAACTTTAGACTCACATGTGCTGTTAGTATTACAATCATTGGCCTCAGTAAAGAAGATTTACGAAGAAAAAAATATTAAAACCTAACAAAATAAGTTATTTATTAATTTTTGGTAAGCTATTTTACATGCTTTAGCAGATGAACTCGACCTTAATCTTGACCTCTGCCTTTACTAAATATCAAATATATATATATATATAGGGGGGGGGGGTGCTTTAAGTTTATTTAAAATAATAAGAATTACATAAATATAATAGCACACAAGTTTTAATTTAACACAAAGGAATTTTTGTGTAAACTTTAGACTCACATGTGCTGTTAGTATTACAATCATTGGCCTCAGTAAAGAAGAATTCTCGATATATATATATATATTTAACACAAAGGAATTTTTGTGTAAACTTTAGACTCACATGTGCTGTTAGTATTACAATCATTGGCCTCAGTAAAGAAGAATTCTCGATATATATATATATATATATATATATATATATATATATATATCGAGAATTCTTCTTTACTGAGGCCAATGATTGTAATACTAACAGCACATGTGAGTCTAAAGTTTACACAAAAATTCCTTTGTGTTAAATTAAAACTTGTGTGCTATTATATTTATGTAATTCTTATTATTTTAAATAAACTTAAAGCACCCCCCCCCCCCACACACACACAATACAATCAAAAGGATTGTATGTATATATATATATATATATATATATATATATATATCGAGAATTCTTCTTTACTGAGGCCAATGATTGTAATACTAACAGCACATGTGAGTCTAAAGTTTACACAAAAATTCCTTTGTGTTAAATTAAAACTTGTGTGCTATTATATTTATGTAATTCTTATTATTTTAAATAAACTTAAAGCACCCCCCCCCCCACACACACACAATACAATCAAAAGGATTGTATGTATATATATATATATATATATATATATATATATATCGAGAATTCTTCTTTACTGAGGCCAATGATTGTAATACTAACAGCACATGTGAGTCTAAAGTTTACACAAAAATTCCTTTGTGTTAAATTAAAACTTGTGTGCTATTATATTTATGTAATTCTTATTATTTTAAATAAACTTAAAGCACACCCCCCCCCCCCCCCCCCACACACACACACACACACAATACAATCAAAAGGATTTTTAGAGTTTTTGTTTTCTAAAAACTGTTCACACACAATACAATCAAAAGGATTTTTAGAGTTTTTGTTTTCTAAAAACTGTTCAGTCGTTTGTCAACTAAAGAAATTCAAAACTCAAAAAAACTAAAAGTTGTGCTTTATTTTATTTTTCTCAAAATTAAAAAGCAAAA